GTAGTGAACAGCTCTAGAGCATAGCTGGAACTGAGTCCCGCACGTGCCAAAACTTAGTTTTACCTCACCCCCATTTCACCCCCTCCCCTTCAGTCTTGGAATCTCTCTTGCGCATGTGGAAGATGTCCTCATGTTCTCACGTTGGTACGGCCTTGGGCATTCCTGAGAGTGAGATGACAGCCCCTCTGCGCCTAGCAGTTAACTTTGCCATCCTTCCTCCCCGCCTCCCTCTCTCTGTAATGGGAGAAACGAAGCAAGCAAACTAGCAGTACAGGTGATTGGTTGCGAGGATTCTGACACAGCGTTTAATAGGACTCTTTCCCAATCGGGCTCTGTGGTGCTTCGGAACAGGTGTGGATGTGCGCGCTGCACCCATCGGTGCCTCCGTCAAGGAGCCGTGCCTTCTGGACCCATACAGGAGCTGAGCGATGCGGAGGAGATGCGCCTCTGACCTCAGGAGGCGCTGGAGGGTGCTTAGGGCCAGATTGGGGTGGGTGCACCCTCAGCCCTTCCTTAACTCCAAGTTGTGTTTTCATGGCAAGAGTGCTAGGCGGTCCGAATTTAAACAGATCTTTCCCACAAGCTTCTGGTGTGCAGAGCTGGGTGGTGCTAAGCTACCCCTTTGGTTAAAAAAGATGGGGAGGTGATCTCAGAGTCCTTGAGAAGCCTTTACCATAGTGCCCAACGTAGGCATAGAATGACACCTCAAATGCCTTTCAGGTACCCGGAGGACTATCTTTTCATCTGCCTTTGACTGTTTCTGCCTGCCCCCTCGCTCCTGGCTCTTTGGACGGCAACGAGGTTTTTATTGAGTTCCACTTTTCCTGGGCTTCAGGCAAGAAAGCCCGAATCGCTTTCTCTTTTATTATTTCTGGAGCTCAGCTGATCCTTGGAAATGGGGCTCAGAAACTTGTGACTGTTGCTTCTGATTGGAGCTGCCTCTAAGCCGTGCAAAATATATAAGTAAAATAAAATTGTACAGCAGGCTTAGAGCTTCAGGTGAGAATTGGCCTTGATGGCAGCTGGTCAGTAAATCATTCTTTAGTGGGAGTGAGGAGAAGACTCCTTATCAAGAATGGATCCTTTTTTTAAAAAAAAGTCATTTTGTATGTTAAAGCATGACCAGCCATGCTACTTGGTAACTAACTCCCTCTCCCTCTCCCTCCCTCCCTCCCTCCCTCCTCTTTCTATCTT